TTTATAACTATACAGAGTAACCACATAGGTATCATGTACCTTCTCACCAAATTTTTCATATAATTCTGTAGATCTCTACTGTACTATAGTATACTAAAAAGCACATTCAAAAACAATCCTCCTTAAACACTGTACATATTTAGCAAACGAATGACTTGGTTAGGAACAATGTGCTAAACAAGTGGAAACAGGTGCTGTGCTTAGTATATAGAAAATAACACTACCAATTTCAATTCTTGGACACTCTGCCCACCTTTTGCATGATATCTCAAAACCATTTGTATAATGACGTCATCATGTACTGCATGTCATTGCAAATTAATGTTATAGTGTGATAACAATGCTTTCTAAGTGCAGCATTTAAAAAAAGAAAGTTTGCTTTGTACAGATAGTGAAAGCTCTTAGCTCTTCAACACTGGAGTAAATAAATGCACCTAGGCTGTTTATATTCATTGGGCCCTTCCCAAGAAAATCAAGGACACGCCAATCAAGAGAGACACATGAAAGATGCCATAGCTGCGCTCTACTTCTAAAAATTTTAGCTGCCCTGCTGTCAAACCCATCTAATAATCTTATACTCCGAAGATGCTTACATTTTAACAATGACAAAACTGCAGATTTTGATTTTTTGTAGGGATATTGTGGCCATGTAAACAACCAAAGTTAAGTTTCTTTGAGTTTAAGTTAGTGGCGAGTTGGAAGTTCCAGAAGCATCTGGTTGACATAGCATACAATACAAAACTCATTTTCTATACTTTTTCAAACTAAAGGCTATAAGTTATATAAAGAAAAAAAATAACAATATATATATATATATATATATATATATTTATATATATATATACACACACACACTATATTGCCAAAAGCAATGGGACACCCCTCCAAATCATTGTATTGAGGTGTTCCAATCACCTCCATGGCCACAGGTGTATGAAATCATGCAAGCAGTTAGGCACGCAGACTGCTTCTACAAACATTTGTGAAAGAATGGGTCGCTCTCAGGAGCTCAGTGAATTCAAGCGTGCTACCGTGATAGGTTGCCACCTGTGCAATAAGTCCATCCATGAAATTTCCTTGCTACTAAATATTCCACAGTCACCTGTTAGTGGTATTTTAACAAAGTGGAAGCAACTGGGAACAATAGCAACTAAGCCATGAAGTGGTAGGCCACGTAAAATGACAGAGTGGGGTCAGCGCATGCTGAAGCGTACAGTGCACAGAAGTCGCCAACTGTCTGCAGAGTCAATAGCTAAAGACCTACAAACTTCATGTGGCCTTCAGATTAGCACAACCACAGTGCGTAGAGAGATTCATGGAATGGGTTTCCATGGCCGAGCATTTGCATCCAAGCCTTACATCACCAAGTGCACTGCAAAGCGTCAGATGCAGTGGTGTAAAGCGCGCCACCACTGGACTCTAGAGCAATGGAGATGTGTTTTCTGGAGTGATAAATCATGCTTCTCTGTCAGGCAATCCGATGGATGTGTCTGGGTTTGGTGGTTGCCAGAAGAACGGTACTTGCCTGACAGCATTGTGCCAAGTGTAAAGTGTGGTGGAGGAGGGATTATGGTGTGGGGTTGTTTTCCACTCTGAAGATGCTTACATTTTAACAATGACAAAAATGCAGATTTTTTTTTACTTTTTGGTAGGGATATTGGTCATGTAAATAACCAAGGTTATGTTACTTTGAGTTTAAGTTAGTGGCGAGTTGGAAGTTCCAGAAGCAGCTGGTTGACATAGCATACAATACAAAACACATTTTCTATACTTTATCTAACTAAAGGCTATAGCCATATTCTCCTTTTCTCTGGTCCCCTGCCAGTACTCCTGGCTTCTCCTTTTTTGTGTGCCACTGTAGGAAGCTGTTTCCTATTGGGGCAAACCTGTGGGCTCGATACCGAACTGTACTGCATGCGTACATAGACGCATGAGGAATCACGGCCTGGCTCCTCCCCCCACTCCCTCACAGGATTTGACTGACAGCAGTGGGAATGCAAATGATTGGCACAGTGCTGGATTGAGTGAGACTCAGGTAAGTATAAGGGTGGGTTGAGGGGGCATACTGGTATTGAAACATTTGCAGGGAATGCATTACGGTACAACATTTTTAGGCTTTAGAACTACTTTAAATGGACAGCTTTTAAGTAACTCCATTTACTTGCTGAGGTGTGCTTAGGGCTTCTTACTCACTTTTATTCATTGCCCTGGGACTATCCAGCATAACACACAATACTAATTTGTCTGAGGAATCTGGCTATTTCCTTAAAGCATTGGATGCTCCAGTTCCAGCCTTTGTGCACACAGCCCTAGTGTGTCTCCTCTTTTCACTGCCTTAGCAATGGCTTACCCAGGGGCCTTGCCTGACTTCAGTCTCTTTACTTTATGGGCCAAATCCTTCTGTCTCCAATCAGAGTCTTAACTTACTTACTGGTCTCTCAGGCACCCCTTCCTTGCCCCAACAATGGCACCCTAGTATCTTTTTTTAAACATTTTCATTATGACAGTCAGTGCTTCTGCGACTCAAGGAGTCATTGTCATTGTACTGTAAAAAGAAGAGGTCACAGAATTTCTACTTAAACCTGTTCACAGTTCCGAAAACAAAAGATCTAAAAGCACTCAATGTCTTCATTCGAGCACAAAAATTCTATATGAAATCTACCAGGTCAGTCCTTGCTTCCCTCCATTTGAGAGACTTTCTGGCCACTATGAACATTAAGAATGCATACTTGCGTGTCCACACCTTTCCAGCACATCAATGCTACCTGCGTTGTACTTTGTACACATTATGCTCTTGGTTTGTTGCCCTTCTCTTTCGCCTGTTTTCTGAACCTCAAGTTTCACCAAAGTGCTAGCCACTGTGCTTGCTTTGCTGTGTTTGCAAGGATTTTCCATCAGGAGATATCTGTTTGACTTTTTGCTGTGGGAACAGTTGGCTCAGACTTTGTCAGCCAATATGCCTGTGCAGGTAAAGGTTTGGTTAGATCCTGAACTGAATCTGGAGGAGGCTCGTCTTCCCATTGGCTCCTGCTGCTGTAAATCAATTCCTGTGAGGAAGAAGTAGAGGGTGGGGCTGAGCAGGGCTGTATGCGTCTATGGATGCATACAGCCCATCTCAGGAGTGAGCCAGCAGCTGTGCCTGATAGCAAGCAGCTTGAATTGGGGGCACACATAGAAGAGAGCTGAGAGGGAGGAGGGGGCCCCAGAAGAGGTGTTTTTGGGACATTTTGTGCAATATGATTGCACAGAACAGGTAAGATTAACAGGTTTATTATTAATTAATACATTAATAAAAAAACAAAAATGATCTTTACAACCGCTTTACCACATGCCTTGTCTGCCCCACAGGCATTAGGGGGAAGGCATACTGCAGATTCTCATGGCACACAGATGGATAGGTACCCAGACCTCATCAGATCTCGTGGGTTCCAGTTCACCAGATCTTCTATCCCAACAAATGGTTTATAACTCTGCTTCACGGGTTTGATGGCTTGGCTGTTGAAGTGCAGGTCATAAAGAGTAGAGGCCTATATGATCAGGTTATTCCTATGCTCCTAAAGGCTAGGAAACCTACCTCTCAAAATGGGGGGACGGGGTACCTCACTTGAATAGAGGGACACATCTTGACTTTTTTTCATCCTGATTTGGATCACCACCCTGAGTACTATCAAGGGTCCAATCTTGGCTCTCGTGATTCTTTTTTAAGGACTGCTGCCTCTTGCCTTGGTGAAAGCTTTTTTACAGAGTCCACCTCTGACTCCATGGGATGTCAACCTGGTTCCTATCGAGAGTAACTCTCTTACTCTCTCTCTTTTGACTCTCACTCACAAGGTTGCTTTACTCATTGTTATCACCTTTGCGGGGCATATTTCCACATTAGCAGCTTTGTCTTGCACAGTACCTGTTGTTCCACACAGAGACAATGTTGTCTTAATGCTTAGGGGCTCTATGCTCCTAAAGGTGGATATTCACCTCTTTTAAGTACTAGTTACAATGTAATATGTTATGTACAGTTCCCTTATTTATGTACAATTGCCATATTTCTTGTAAACCTTTCTGAATTTCACTGGAGGCAATTGCCCCCTCTTGCATGCTGTCTTCATTTCACTGCTTTATAAAAACTGTCTCACTATCCTGGAACCTCAATAGGACTTGTCAGGATGGAAATCCAGAAACTGAGGAATCTTGGGCAATATGAGCATCAGAGGTCACTTGACATCTGGCAGAGTTGCTGGTCTGTCAGCTACTTGGCATCTCATCTCCCATTCTCAGAATGTGTAGTGTGTGAGGTCAAACATTTAGGAGGCAGCACCTGTTCCAGACACTTCATTCATGTAAATTATCAGTCTAACATAGTAGATCTAATGCGCAAAGGTACTTAAGTCACAAAGCTTTAACACCAGTCCAAGTCACTTATGGTCATAGATGGGTAGAATTTTGAACAAAAGTTTGAAAATTCTTAGGAAAAGAAGGTTCTAAGAAAGTTTGTTTGTTTTTTAATCATTAATGAGTCAAATTGGCCTTTTTTTTTTCAACCGCAGTAATGAGAAAATTCGAATGAGCAGGATGGAAAATTGTTTCAAACTAATGAATTTCTAACAGTGTATGTGTTTTTTGTTCTGTAAAGTCCACTTATCTGCCCTAGCATCTATTGAAAAGCTAAATATTATTTTCAGACATACCAAACCTTTATGTTTAATACAACATAAATTAGATAATCAAACTCCTTAAATGTATTTTAATTTAAATGACATGGCTTCATTTTGCTAAAACATCCTCAAATTGTGTTTTTGTATCAGGACTTTGTGATTTACGTGATGACCCGGAAGAAACATCTCTTTGGAAGAGCAGACAAATCTTCAAGGGACAAAGGACCTTACGTGGATACTTTCTTGTCAGCTCCAGATATACTGCCCCGTCACTGCTGTGTATGGCGGTTAGATTCCTCAACTCAAAAGAACCTAGTCCGTGTAAGACCTTACCGGGGAGCCCTTGTTACTCATAATGGGGCAGTGCTTCAGAGAGAAGCTGAACTCCACACTGGTGATTTACTAGGGCTTGGAGAGCACTTTCTTTTTATGTATAAGGACCCTAGAGCACCACAGTCAAGACCTGCCTGGCTTCCTCAGTCCTGGTCCTCTCCTGGATTGAGTGGGGCCTTTTCATGTCAGATGTGTGGGAGGTCACTCCAAGAGCGGCAAGAGGCTGTCCAAGCTTATATAGAGAGCAAGGATTTGGTGCTTCAATACCGCTCTCAGGAAGAGGATGCTGTATTAAAAGAGATTATTGAGAAAAATGGCAACCCAAGCACTGAATTTAAATTGTCCCCTGCCTACCTCTTCAGTCTCTGCATTGAGCACTCAACACGAGCCCTGGATCCTGGTCACTTTCCTAAACTGGTAATGAAGATTGCCACCATGATTAAGGAAGTTGTCTGGGTAAGGTCATTTGGATTTTTGTTTGTTTGCATCATATATTTTACAGTATTTTGTAGAATGCATTTGGGATTTATTGTAATGTTTTTCTTTTTTTACTTGTTTCAACAATATAAAAGTTGTTCTCTGCAGAATGAATAAGGGGTAATGATGAAAGTGAATAAGCAAATTATTTAGATTTTATAGTGCTAGTAAAAATATTAAAGCAGGTATTTGGTTGCTTGCTGTAATGACACCTTTCATTTTCTTCAGTTTTTGTGAATTTATCGAACAGATTTTGTCCGGTCTTTACCTGAGTTGAAGCCATGTGACACACATATATAAATTTTGTTTTAGTTTTTTATGTATTTGTTAATTAAATCATTTTTCCATTCAACTTCCATAACTACTTGAAATCTGTCTTATACTAACTTGCCACATTCCAGCTAAAATATGTAGCTATGCTTGCAGTGGGAGTGACAGCTCTGTAAACAGAAGGGTGATAGGCAGGGGCGGACTGACAACTCATGGGGCCCCGGGCAATAGGGGATCATGGGGCCCCTGTGTCCTTGCCCTAACTCAAACTATGAAAAAGGTACCAGGGGCATTTCGTGGGGCCCCCTACTGACCTCGGGCCCTTGGGCAGTGCCCGAGTTTCCAAATGGTCAGTCCGCCCTTGGTGATAGGTACCTAATAGGGTTTAAAGTATGGAGAGAGCTTTGATAGTTGTCACTAATGTGTTGGAAGACAGACACGGAGGCATTGGCTTTGTAGAATTTCTTTTTTTTTTTTTACCCTACGTAGGTCATACAGTCATTTATGGCACATGCAGGGTGCATTGTTTCTTGCCCTGTAAAATCCATTGAAAAACTTATTGTGTTACTAAAAAAACCCACAAAAGTAAAATCAGTCTGTATATGCAGTAAAGCATGCTTGTTATTCTCACTGTGGAAGTTTAGCACGTATTGCTAAAGAGTTTTTTTTTTTTCATTGAGAGGGTGCATGTGATCAGCACGGGGCCAATCAGCACTGTCCAGGCAAGGGTACGGGGGTCCTGCAGCCTCATAAGTCAATCAGGGAAGAATGAAAACTCCTCCTACAAGCTTTAACCAGTGCTCTGCTGAACACTGATAGAAGTCACAAGACTGCTCTAACTGCTGATGAGAAAAGGTATTTAGGAGTTTATATTTACTAAAATAATTGCATTCCCATATTGTGTGTACTGCGGGAGACCAGATATAGTGAATGCAGGGTCCTGGGTTTAGTAACACTTTAAAAATATTTTGGAAATATCTCAGCTATTTGTACAGATGGTTGGTCATATTTCCCTTTTACGGAGACATGTACAGTATATTGGTGTGTTCCTGTAAAATAAATGTACTGTAGTAATATTAAATAAATGTATTAATACTAACAGTGAAGACCTTTGTTTTATGAGAAGGGACTGAGTAGGTAAACCTAAGAAACCCAATATCCCAGAGTCATTCTTATGATTGAAAGTACACACATGAAAATCCATTCACAAAACCAAACAACAAGAAAATAAAGGTCTGGTTCTGATCCTTTATCTTCTGTCTTTTTGTACATTTTCCCTGTCCGTTATGCTATCCTTTCAGGACATTCCTCCTCTGGCTCCCTCATTTAGTTGTAGCACAGTGGCTAAGTGGTTAGCACTTCTGCCTAGCAGCGCTAGGGTTGTTCAAATCCCAACCACAGCATTACCTACCTGGAGATTGCATGTTCTCCCTGTGCCTGCATAGGTTTCCTCCCACACTTCAAAGACATGCTGGTAGGATAATTGGCTCCTGTTTAAATTGGCCCTAGTATGTGTATGTATGAATGTGAGTTAGGGACCTTAAATGATATGCTCCTTGAGGGTTAGGGACTGATGAGAATGTCCAATATACACTCACCAACCACTGTAATACTTATACCTTGCTAGTGCCAGGAAAATATTCCCCACACTATTACACCACCACCACCTCCAGCCTGAAATGTTGATACTATGATGGATGGATCCATTCTTTCATGTTGTTTATGCAAAATTCTGACCCTACTGTTGCCTTTCTATCATCTTGAACCAGTCTGCCTATTCTTCTCTGACATCAGCAAGGAATTTTTGTCCTCACAACAGCCTCTCACTGGATACTTCTCTGTAAACACTAGAGATGGTTGTGTGTTACAATCCCAGTAGATCAGCAATTTTTAAAGCACTCAGAGCAGCTTGTCTGGCAACAACAACCATGCAAAGTCACTTAAATCCCCTTTCTTCCCCATTCTGATGCTCAGTTTGAACTTCAGCAAGTCATCTTCACCACGTATACATACCTAAATGCATTGAGGTGCTGCCAAGTGATTGGCTGATTAGCAATTTGTGTTACAAAGCAATTGAACAGGTGTACCTAATAAAGTGGTTGAAGTGTATGTAAAGCGTTGCGTAAATTGACAGCGTTATATAAGTACCTATAATAATAACAACAATAATCTCTACTGTTCCTCAAGTTATGTCTCTGCCCTGTGCTGCCTTGACTGAAGCTACCCCAGTGCATTATCTATGCTTTACTTCTGGGGCTTTAGGAATGCCTTCCCATCAGCATGGTGCTGAATCATTGTCATACACAGTGTTCTACAATCCCAACCCCTTGCCTTCCAATATAGCTATCTTGTCCCTTGCAGCCTTGTGTCCTGATACTATAAACTATTGCATTGCTGGACTTGTCTTGTTTTGTTTCTTAAAGTGGTAGTAAAGTCCTAAAAAGAAATAAAAGTCCACCTGTAAGTTAATGTTATAATAGTGAAATACTTACCTTAAAATGAAGCACTCCAGCGGCATGCTGACATGGCTTTCATCTTCACCCAGTCTTTCTTCTGGGTTTGTGGGCTCCGGCCATATGAATGACCGAGCCGTGATGGTGTCACTCCCACTTGCATGCCATGGGTATGCTGTCCCTTCTGAGTGCATGCGCCAGTGACGTCACTGAAAGTTTGGGAGATATTCACTGTACCTTATTATAGGCTTACCTGAGGGTACAAGTTAAACAAAATGTACTTTACTACCACTTTAAATGTTTCTTGTTTGATTTGAGTTATGTCTTCTCTGATCCATACCTGGTATCCTGTTTCGTACTTTATCTGCTCCGCCCACTATCTTCTTTGTCTCTTCCCTTTGCAGTCCTGTATTTGTTTGAGGCTTCCTGTCTGCACTCCGAGGTCTTTTTTTAATCTAGGCTGTTTTCTCTTGATTCTCTTAGTAACCATCAATGTTTCCTACCCATGCACATCAATCGTTTATCATCACTGCAGGGGCGGACTGACAAACTCATGGGGCCCCCGGGCAATAGGGGATCATGGGGCCCCTGTGTCCATGCCCAAACTCAAAAAATCCTATGAAAAAGGTACCAGGGGCATCTCATGGGGCCCCCTACTGCCCCGGGCCCTCGGGCAGTGCCAGAGTTTCCAAATGGTCAGTCCGCCCCTGCATCACTGTCTATAATTAGTTTCTATTTGTTACTCCTTTCACGTTTATTGAGATAATCCAGAGGCTCAGAGCCTGAAAATTAATACACCTTACCTGGCTATAGTAAAGAGAGCACACTCCCAGGTCCCAGTTATAGGCAACAAAAGTTCTTCTCTTTTTGCTCTGTCTTGTGTCTGATTGAATTCCTGTCTATGACCTCTGCTTTTGCTGAAAGTCATGTTTGACTCTCAACCCTCAGGGCTTTACCCTTGATATTGCTTCTTTTTGCTGACAAATTTTGCACGCATTGACAAAATTCCTGTTCAAGGATTTTACAAACTCCCTAACCCTGACCAGCATAGCTTCCAACTGTCCCTGATCTTGAGGGACTGTCCCTCATTTGGGATAAAGTCCTTCTGTCCCTCTTTCCCCATCATTTGTCCCTCATTTTGGTCTGAGCTAGATAGTTTTATATAAAATGCATTATTTACCTATTAAAGTGTTTTACAGTGCTAAACCTTTCATACAATTTCTAAATTGCTGCATTTGTAAATTCTAAAAGCCAGTATAAAGGCATAGTAGTGGTAAAAAAAAGCACTTTTGGTTTTCACCAATAATTTGTTTTGTTTAGTTCTCCTTTAAGGTAGGTGTGGCAGGGGGTGTGTCCTATGCTTACATACCTTTGAAAATAGGTGTCCCTCATTCCCATCTCAGAAAGTTGGGAGATATGCTGGCCAGTAGTCTTCTGCCAGTCCGGATGAACTGGGTTACTTTTAATTTAGGGATACGAGAGCAAAGTTATGCAAACCATTCCTTTGCAACAAAAGTGAAACTAGAACCCCAGTTGTATCTTCCATTGATGAGACTTCAATGCGACCGCAATCTTGGAAACAGCTATATGCAAGTATGATATGTAGTTATACTTATTGGGTTGTCTGTGTTTGTTTTTTAACCACTTGCCCTCCAGAGGATTTACCCCCCTTCCTGACCAGGCCATTTTTTGCGTTACAGCGCTGCGTTACTTTAACTGACAATTGCGTGGTCATGCAACACTGCACCCAAATTAAATTTATGTCCTTTTTTCCTCCACAAATTGAGCTTTCTTTGGGTGGTATTTGATCGCCTGTGCATTTTTTATTTTTTGCGCTATAAAAAAAGACTGACAATTTTGAGGAAAAAAAAATATATTTCTGGCTTTTTGCTATTAAACATGTCCAGTAAAAAAATCAAAAAAATCAAATTTCATCATAAATTTAGGCCAAAATGTATTCTGCTACATGTCTTTGCTAAAACAAATCCTAATATGTGTAAAATGGTTTATGTGAAAGTTTTAGCGTTTAAAAATGGCGGTATAGATACTGAAATTTTTTTCTTTATTTTTACTGGCAATGGCAGCGACCTTTAGCGGGACTGCAGCGGGCATTCTGACACTGGGGGGAACTGACTTGGTGTCACTGACATCCCCAGTGACACTAATACAGTGATCAGTGCTAAAAAAAAAGCACTGACACTGTACTAATGACACTGGGCAGGAAGGGGTTAACATGAGGGGTGATCAAAGGGTTAACTGTGTGCTGGGAGTGTTTTACTAGAGGGCGGTGTGCGTGTGCTTCATTGTAAGCACACTGCTTTGGATGACTGTGCTGGGCACAGTCATCCAAAGCAGTGTGCCAGAACTGACAGGGAGGAGAACTGTTAGTAAACAAAACAGTTCTCCTCCCCGTCGGAGATTGTCGGAAATCACCGGGTGCCGGTGAGTAATCAAATGGCGGCGCTGGTAGGCCGCACCCCGTACCCGGAAATGCAAAATCATGTATGTATATGTGATATATGATTTTGCGCACCCGTGCTGCCCTGTAGCAGTATTTCTGCTATAGGGCAGTCAGAAAGTGGTTAACCAATGGCTCTGGAGACATAGCTGGTCATATGGGGGAAAAGTTAACTTCTTGGAGTTGACTTAGTAAAGGCACATAGGCTGTTCACTTTGCAAGGTAAGTTGTATTTTGCATGTGAATATCCCAAAGCTCTTCTGCTTGCACATGATTGGATGATGGAAGTCACCAGCCTCACCTCATTTGCTAGGCTCTGGAGAAGTTTCCTTTGCAAAGTGCAACTTCCCTTTCTCTAGTAAAAGGTCTATTTTTCTTTAGTAGACCAGCCCCTTTGTCTCAGCCCTCAAGTCTTTATGCAAAACAGTCTATTATCCACTAGTTAGTTTATTTTTGATTTATGACAAAAATATCAGATGTGCGTTAAGACAGAAGTGCTTTATTTACCAAATAAAAAAAATAACAAAATAAACATTTCCTAAAAATTCTACTGCAGTGGAAAATCAGTAGTAATAATAAATATCAAGATGTTCATTTTCACCTTCTGTCCTGTAACAGAAAATAGGATCAATACACTGATTTTTAATGACAGTGGCCTGCCATAATAACCATCATTGTCAGCAGGGGCAGCCATGAAGGGCTATGGATGAAAATGATCATTGTATTACATTGAATTACATGAATTATTGCTTAGCAAATTAAGCGTCTTAGTAGATAGAATCAACTTTTATAGTGAGCCCAGTGGTGTATTTAGGTTTTGTGCTGCCCTAGGCAACACAAAAATCGTCTGCTCCCATAGACACCAACCAACACCCCTGCCCCCCACCTGGAAGAGCCTTCAACTACACCCCCCCAGCCCCGGCGATAGAGAGAAAGACACTCATCTTCACAGATCTGAACATCCCCGGAAATGACAGTCAGGCTCTACTTACACCATCAAGCAGCCCTCAGTCTCTCTCGGATCCCACCTGGTTCCCATCGCGCGTGTGTGCCTTCTTTCATCAGTTCATCTGAGGGGAGGTGCTGCCCCCCTGAAAAATGCCACCCTGGGCAAGTGCCTTGTTTGCCTTGTGGTAAGTACACCCCTGAGTAAGCCTTATATCTCTTCTCCTGGTTTATGTTCATGCACACTGGAAAAGAAGAAAACGTGAGATGACCACTTTTTGTTCTTTATGTGCAGTTGTTGGGTGTGCTAAAACGGGGACAAGAATGCTTCATTGTGACTCAGTCGATCAATACTTACTTTCTCCAGTTCTTCAGGTGTCAGTCTTTAGAACAACATAAACATTCAAAAACTGGTTGTCTTGTTTAAAAAAACATATTTGCTTATCAGCATACCTCCCAACTTCTACAGGAGGCACAATATTGATGAGCAAATTCATGTATTTATTCTGACATCTGTGAATCTGTGAGAGAACAAACATGGTTATCAACAGCTTCCTCCTAATAATTCATGGGATAAAGGAGGCAAATGGAATATCCCTGAATCACAAACAAGTGGATTGGATGATTACAGGTGATTTTCCAAGATTAGTTAGGGAGCATGAGCAGGATAGCAGACTTGGACTCTGCACCTTTACAGACAAGTCAGCAGTAGCATTTCCCATATTTTGATCCTCACTGGCCTAATCTAAAGCAGAGTTAAATTCTAGATGAGTACCAGAACAGGTTCATCTAGCGTCCAGGGCAAGAATGCAGAACTGCGCCCCCTCCCACACTGTTAATGCATGCCGTAGAATGGCTTTACTGCCCTATGGCCATTCTCTGCCCCTTGCTCTCCTGTGCCCAGAGCAGCTTCCCCTCCTGCCCACCCTTTGTCATGGCCCTGTTCTAGATTGATCTTTAGCTGCTCACCCATTGCTTCTCAACCTAATCAGTACAAAGACCACTAAGGACTGCTGAAATGCATTTTTTGGTGCTTCAAACTTCCTGTGAGTGCCCCATGTCAAGTCTACAGAGGAGATAAGATTTGTGTGCACCCAGAGGTACTGCTTGACTGCCTACCCCTGAGCAACCAGCCAGTGACTTTTCACACACACGTCTTGCCCCTCACCATAGCGGAGCAGAGGTAGAAACCCACCAGTAACCAAAAGAAGACCCTACAAGGTAAAGGTGGAACATTCTGCAGGTGGTCTTTTTAATGTTACCTCACATGACTACCAAACATTTACAATAACATGGGTCAGTATGTAATTATTTTTGAAGTAGCAAAACAAATGTCTGAATACTGGATTTTATTTTTAATGCACTTTTTAAATGTCTGTAATTGAATGTATGTACAGTATTTTGGTTGCAATCTTAGTGCCTATCTCTTGTGTAATACTTTGATATGAATATGTTTCATTTGAACAACGAACTGTGAGTTTTAAAAAGCACCTAAAATGCATGCATGTATGAACCATACATTCTAGACAGGCATCCAACTAAACATAGGCTCCAATGGCATAAAACAGATACCATTAGATACCATACAACATAAGAACTGCCATTAAAGCATGGCCCAAGTCATGATTAAGTAGGATCTTAATTCTCAACTCTTAGGCAAGAATGGCCAGCAGCAGTTCATCCGTTATCTTAATTTATTTATCATTTAGGATTATGTAGCCTCTTCCATCATGCTTCCCTCAGACAAGGATTTGTAGCTTCTTTTGTTTGTATTTCTTTAGCAGCTGTAGCTGAGAAGAATTGCTCCAAATTATATCTGAACTAGAAGACTAGAGTCTGGAGCAAGTGAAAAGCAGGGGTCTTTGAGCAGGTCCCAAGCTGGAGATAGTGTTTAGCAACTCCACTTTTGTGGGAAAAAATAGCAAATAAAAATATATTATAGCTTATAAAATTACGAATCAAGTCCTATTCTAATTGAATGCGTTTCAAATTTACCTCTCCTTTTTTAATCTGCAGCGCTGCCATTTTCTGTCAATTGCAATGCAATAAGGCTACCTGGAGGTGTTCTGTACACATATGGCGTATAGAACGCCCCCTGAAAATGTCATCTCCTGTTTGTGTGATTGGCTTATTGATTTTCCCAGAAGTCTGTACTAAGGCTGGCCATAAATTATACAATTTTCTTGTACAATTTTCCTTTAGATTTACCATATTATAAGAGGTGAAACCTAAACACTCTCAATTTGTTTGCAACCAGGAAACCCTTTGCACTACATACATTAGCTGAAGGTAACTCTAAAGGAAATTTAATAAGAAAATTGTATAATGTATGGCCAGCTTAAGATACAAGACAATTTTTGGCATCCCCTGCAACATAAATGTCATTTTTGGTGAGATACTCCCAAAGGGAAATCACATCTAAAGAGATGCAGACCTTGCCAATTTCCTCACTGGAACTGTGCAGGTGCAGCAGTTGACTGATAATTATAAAACCACTCCCATACAGATTCACTCTTCACATGGACACAGACAAGCAAACAGGTACTTCTTCAGAATAACAAAAGGTAGGAATCTTCAACAACGTTTGCAATGTACATAGATAACCCAGAGGAGAATGCTTTTTTTTTTCTCAACAAAAATGGGCTTACTCTTTAAGCCAGGGAATTACATTTGATGATGCCACACTGGAGCCAGATCTAGCAAACATGGAACACATCCAACCTATCTAGCAGTCTTATTATATTAGGTTCTGGACAGGGGCAGACTGACAACTCATGGGGCCCCCCGGACAATAAGGGATCATGGGGCCCCTGTGTCCTCGCCAACACCCAAAAAAGCCTATAAAAAAGCCAATGAAAGGTACCAGGGGCATCTCATGGGGCCCCCTACTGACCCCGGGCCCTCGGGCAGTGCCTGAGTATTCGAATGGTCAGTCCGCCCTTGTTTCTGGAACAGTTGAGGGTGGTGGGATGGTGTCTTATAATTAGTCTTCAGTTTAGATCTGCTTTTTATGTTTACCCGTGCCAACATCTCCTTTCCATAATGGTACTTTTTAATAAAGCATAGAAATCTTCATATGTTTGAACGTACTTTTTTGAGATGTAATAATAATAATTATGATAATAATAATTTAATACTTTGTCCATACAGGAGAAAATTAAAGAGATTGGAGACAAACAACCAGAAAAGTGAGTAGTGACCATTTCCCGAGTTTTCTCTTCATTTGCTTGTGGCAGGAGTCATATCTTCCCTGAATTGATAGATTTCAGTGATACATTGCTGTCTGAAGTCATGCTGCTATGTTTGCTGTTTCAGTGAGATGTGTTGATGATAGAGTTAGTATATTTATGGCTCTCCAGAAGTACAGGGAAAGAGGAGCCTGTGTCACTTGAAGCTCTGGTGATAAACAAGAAATATAGTTTTTAGAAAGTTGTATATCCTTTTGTTACTGAAATTATAGCTCGTCTGCTACCATCTATTAATGCCAGTACCAGCTTAAAAATATCTACTGCCAGTGTAGAGAAAGTTGTCATTGTAAGATTCTCCTAAGTGCTGGATTTATTTAACTGATGCATTTAAAGTGAACCTGTGCTTAGATTGTGCAGGGCTAAGGAACAGGCTCATTAGCTTCTTTGCTGCTTATCCATACACTCTCTTTGCTCTCCCACCTTTCTTATCAAACTACAGGAACAAGAAAAAGAAGTGCTGTTTATACTCCATAGTGATCTGGTTGGAGCTGTCACTGAGCTTAAAGCAGAACTACACTGCATGTGAGCACCGCTAACCAAAAGCACAATTTAATTCATTTTCATTAATCAACGCAAGCTCACCCATCCATCCATGTCCTAATGCTCTATTTTACATTTATGCTGGCCATATATGGGTCGAAATTCGACTGATTTTTCGTCTGAAAATCGGACCTAAGAATAATTGGCCGATTTTCGCTCTGTTAGTGGGTCAATGGCACCGGCCGATTTTCGTGGTTCCTCCCCTTTTCAGTGATCGGGCATCTTGGAAAATCCGTGAAAAACGACCACGTTTTGACTCAATGATGGTCAAATCGTTTGATCGTTTTTCCGAAAAGAATATGTGCATGAGCCGTGACCTGGAAGGAACAGAAGTTTTGCTTGTTATATGGGGTGAATTTTATGACTCGGTCGGCCGATTTTCAAAATCAGTGATGGCACCATTGGATTACGGAGCAAACGTCGTTTTTGATTTTTGGACAAAAATCGTTCGGAATTCGAACAATGTATGATCTGCATTAGTCTGGCTGAAAAAAGACAAAAGTTCATCCAGTTCAACCATTAAAAAAACAAAAAAGTTATAATCCTATACCCACAGTTGATCCAGAGTAAGGCAAAACAAAACAGCAAAGCATGATCCAATTTGCTCCTGCAGGGAAAACAATTCCTCCCTGATCCTCCGAGAGGCAATCAGATATTCCCTGGATCAACTTTACCTATAAATGTTATTATCCAGTGATATTCTGTGTATCTAGGAAAGAATCCAGGCCTTTTTTTAAAGCAATCCACTGAGCTGGCCAGAACCAACTCTTGAGGGAGTCTATTCCACATTTTCACAGCTCTCACTGTGAAGAAACCTTTCCGTGTTTGGAGATTACATTTCTTTTCCTCCAGATGTGAAGAGTGCCCCCTTGTCCTCTGTGATGACCTCAGGGTGAATAGCTCTACACCGAGTTCACTATATAAACCACTGATGTATTTATACATGTTGATCAGATGCCCCCTTAATCTCCTCTTCTCAAGAGAGTATAAATTACATTTTGCTGAGAAATCCCTTAGAAAAACATCCCCCTAGCATTTCTGGCAGTAGCCAGTTTGAGTGTCACTGGAGATGTCAGTGACACCAAGTTAGTTCCCCCCAGTGTCAGAATGCCCGCCGCAGTCCCGCTATAAGTCGCTGATCAGTGCCATTACCAGTATATGAAAAAAAAAAAAATCCAGTATATATACCGCCATTTGTAAACACTATAACTTTCATGTAAACCAATTAATTTACACATATTAGGATTTTGTTTAGCAAAGACATGTAGCAGAATACATTTTGGCCTAAATTTATGACAAAATTTGATATTTACAATTTTGTATTGGACATGTTTAATAGCAAAAAGTCACAAATATTGTTTTTTTCTCAAAATTGTCAGTCTTTTTTTGTTTATAGCGCAAAAAAATGTAAAATGCACAGGCAATCAAATACCACTAAAAGAAAGCTCCATTTGTGGGAAACAAAAAGGCATACATTTCATTTGGGTGCAGCGTTGCATGACCACGCAATTGTCAGTTAAAATAACACAGCACCACATTGCAAAAAATGGCCTGGTCAGGAAGGGGAGTAAATCCTCTGGAGGGCAAGTGGTTTAATCTTCGTCTGATTACAATGATGTTGTAAATAGATGGGGTTAGTAGAAAATGAGAACATTTTATTTTTCTCTGCACAGGTTTACATTAAGCCGATTGGCCTGGCTATTTTAACCATTTCAATACGGGGCAATTTTACACCTTCCTGCCCAGGCCATTTTTCACGTTTCAGCGCTCTCACACTTTGAATGACAATTGCGCAGTCATACAACATTGTACCCAAACTAAAATTTTATCATTTTCTTCACACAACTAGAGCTTTCTTTTGGTGGTATTTAATCAGCGCTGGGGTTTTTATTTTTTGCTAAATTAACAAAAAAAGGCCAAAAATTTTGAAAAAAAAAACACGTTTTTCTTTGTTTCTGTTATAAAAGTTTACAAATAAATAATTGTTCTTCATAAATTTAGGCCAAGATGTATTCTGCTACATGTCTTTGGTGAAAATAACCCAAATTAGGATGTATTTTTTAGTTTGTAGGAAAGTTATAGAGTTCACAAACTATGGGATATATCTGAATATTGATCAATCCTGAAGTACTGACAGTCATTCTAATTTCTTGAGGTCCAAGAATGTCAGAACAGTACAGATATCCCCAAATGATCCCTTTTTGCAGAGTAGACAGTCCGACGTACTTCATAAGAGGAATGGCGAGTTTTTTGAAGTTGTATTTTTTTTGTCATAATTTTTCGGAAAATGAAAAAATTAAAAAAATTATTTTCACTATTTTTTTTTACATACTGTCACCAGTGCAGTACAGCGTCATCATATAACTGGCATGGCGGTGAACAGGGACACTGACTGGTGACAGTATGAAAAAAACTATATATATTTTTTTTATTTTTTTATTATTTTTAATTTTTTATTACATTTTTAAAAACATTTTTAAAGATTTTTTTTTTCAGATTTTACTATGACCAAAGTAGTACAATGTTACCATAGTAACATTGTACTACTTTGGGGAAGTGATCAGTATTTTTTTTTTTTTTTTACACAATTTGCTTATAGCAAAGAATTACTTTGCTATAAGCAAGCATTTACCTGAATGAAATCGATTCATTCAGGTTTTTTTTTTTTTTTTTTTGTGCTTAGCTGTGATTTGGCCACGGCTAATCACATGACATGTGCATGTGACCTGCTGTGACCATTCACAGCTAGGCACTAGTATACAATGGATGGCATGAATGAAGCCATCCATTGTATACAACTGTCATGTGACCTGCTGTGATTGGTCACAGCAGGTCACATGGTACCGGCAACGGGGGCCGGTACTCAGATCTGTCATCGGCCGTGTCCGAGGTACACGGCCGGTGACAGATCGCGCTGCTGCGCGGCTCTGCAACCGCACAAACTGCGCATGTGTGGGAGGACGCCAAATGGCGTGCACCCGGAAAGCTAGAGCATTTTTGCGGCCGCCAAATGGCTATAGGCCGGACGGCTAATAGTTAAAACCCATAATAACCATTAGATTTCATTTTTTTTCATAAACATTTACACTGCAATGTTTCAAACTGCATGGAAAATGATTAGATCTGTGCCATTATTGCTTATGGGACTGTCATCTAAAGATGAACTCCTCCGGTACCTTCATTCTTGCACGGATTCCTGTGCTGTGCTGAAGTCACAGTGTAAGTCCTGTTTCACATGAGCTTCAGCTTGTATAGGACCAGTGTGAACAGTAAGCTTTGACAAAGCATTTACAGAGCTTTCAGGAAGCTTTGTTGAAGGTTTTAAAAAACCATTCAGCTCCAGTTAGCAAATGTTGATTGAAGATCCTATGGGAGTGTTGATTGCCACTTTAAACAAGCTGTTAGCAGGTTTCAGCTTTTCTTGAAGCTTGTTGAAAGTCTTTTGAAGTCTGCTAGCAGCTTGGTTAAAAGGCAATCAACATTCCCATTAGGATCTTTGTTCAACATTCACAAACTAGAGATGGATACTTTAGAAGCTTAAGTAAAGATTTCTGAAAGCTTTGCAAATCCGTTGTCAAAGCTTGCTCGCACTGGTCCTATACAAGCTGAAGCCTGTGTGAACAGGCCTAAGAGTTTCTCACAGTGTAAATTAGAAGCTGCCGCAGGTCAGACAGAGCTCGCCTAACTTTGTGGTTGGAAAATGTGCAGCATCATCTAGCGCTGTACTCCGCCAGCCTTAGGCTAGGTTCACATCTGTGCGGGTGGTGCCGCTGAGGATCCGCATGAAAATTCGTGGAGCCGCACCACTTGAACAGAGAAATGCGGACCTGTGAACGGGTGCCGTTAGTTTTAATGGTACGCCACCCGCACTGGAAAACGGGCTGCATTTCCGGAAGAAGTGCAGGGACTTCTTCTCTGCGTCTCACAGGGCATAGGAGTCCATTCAAATGAATGGGCTCTCGTGCCTGCGTAAAAGCGGCCCGCGCAGCTGCATATATGTGAACCGGTGCTTACTATCACTGGCTAGGCTCCCTAATTGATTCTTTCAATCATAGAGGCACCACATCACATTTGGGTGTTACCAGGGGCGGACTGACAACTTATGGGGCCCCTAGGCAATAGGTGATCATGGGGCCCCTGTGTCCTTGCCCAAACTCAAAAAAGCCTATGAAAAAGGTACCAGGGGCATCTCATGGGGCCCCCTACTGACCCCAGGCCCTTGGGCAGTGCCCGAGTTTCCAAATGGTCAGTCCGCCCCAGGTAGTCTGCCCAGGAACACCCACCCCCTTCAGATTGAAATCTGCTTATCTAGGAATTTTGCTGTTTTTATAACCCCTCCTAAAAGCCATATCACTGTCTGCATCAAGCCTGAGGGCTCTGCAGAGGAGTACAGAGGCACG